ATGTGACAGACCCGAGGTCACACATGGAGATGGCAGCAAAAGCCAGGACCCGATGCTGGGTGTCCTGACACCCCCATCCAAGTTTCATTCACAGCAGATGGCCCTGTCCCCCCTCGCCACCCCTCCCCCAAGGAAATGGATGGAGGGAAAGGAGGGGAGGGGAGAAGGGAGGAGGGAAGGAAAGCAGGCTTATCTTTAAAAGGCCTGGTTCTGAAGAAACCCTTTTGTCTTTATCCCTTACCAGCCCCGCTCCTGTTTCACAGGCCGGCCCCCTCCGGCTCCTTCCTCCAAGGCCCCAGAGCCTGCGGCTGCCACCTTCCAGAGCCAGTTAGAAGGAGGCCGGTTAAAAAGTCAGATATGGGGGACTTCCCTGGTGGTCCAGTGTTTGAGAATCTGCCTTCCAATGCAGGGGATACGGGTTCAATCCCTGGTCGGGGGCCTAAGATCCTACATGACGCGGGGCAACTAAGCCCATGCACCACAACTACTGAGCCGCGCGCTCTGGAGCCGGCATACCAGAAATAGAGAGAAGCCTGCACGCTGCAACGAGAGACCCCGCATGCTGCAACAAAGATCTCGTGTGCAGCAGCTAAGACCTGACGCAGCCAAATAAATTATATATATATATTTAAAGTCAGATACGGAAAACAGTATGGCAGTTCTCAAAAAATTCAACATAGAATTACCACGCGACCCAGCAATTCCACTCCTGTGTATATGCCCCAAAGAACTGAAAGCAGGGACTTGAAGAGATATTTGCACACCCATGCCCCTAGCAGCATTATCCACAACAACCAAATGGCAGAAGGAACCCAAGTGTCCACTGACAGATGAACAGGTAAACAAAATGTTGAATATTATTCAACACAGTAGAATATTACTCAACCTTAAAAAGGAAGGACATTCTAACACCTTCTATGACGTGGACGAATCTTGAGAACATTATGCTAAGTGAAATAAGCCAGACACAGAAGGATAAGTACTGTGTGATTCCACATATATGAGGTCCCTAGAGGAGTCAAATTCATAGAGACAGACAATAGAATGGTGATTGCCAAGGGCTGGGGGAGGGAAAACGGAGTTAGTGTTTAATGGGGGCAAAGTTTCAGTTGGGGAAGATGAAAAAATTTTGGAGATGGATGGTGGGGATGGTCATACAGTGATGTGAATGTACTTAACGCCACTAAACTGTACACTTAACAAAAATGGTTAAAATGGTAGATCATATGTTAGGGGTATTTGACCACAAGAAAAATCCAAAAATTGAAGGCCGTTCGGCCCGTCTCTCAAACTCAGTGGTTCCTTCAGGCCCCTGACTCAGACACTCAGCCCTGCCTTCCACCACTGGCAAGGGGGAGGTAGAGGTCCCCACCCAAACCAGGCTCATCCTTGGCCTCCTGTCACCCATCAACAGGTGTGGCTCAGGGACCAGCTCCGCGAGGGGAGCGCAAACCCCCTGGCCGGGGTCCCAGCCCACCCCGGCTCAGCCTGTGCCCTCAGGCTCCAAGCGCCCCACTGTCCTGAATCTCCGGGAAGTGGACCCACTTGGTCCTGGCATTTTCTGTAACACGTCCCAGCCCCACCCGGGCCAGGCAGCCTCTCCAGGCTGGGGGCCTCACCCCTGCCTGGCTCCAGGGGTTTCGTTTATTTTCAGTGTGTCCACATCCCTGTTTCTGCCCTGCCCACAGGAGGGAATGCTTTAAAGAAAATCTCAGTTATTAATGTGGTTTCTTTTGTTGTAAGTCAGTGCAAAGGCAGCAAATGAGGGTTTATTTTCCTAACGTGCTTGGCATAGCTCTGTGCCCCGGCCCAGACCTCAGCGTTTGATTTGGGAGGAACCCGAGACCCCGATTTGCTCTGAGTCACCGGCGAAGCCACAGCCTTCCCGGTCAGTTCCAGGGGGAGCCTGGTCCTGGGGAATCATTGGCAGAGATAGGCTACACCTACCGATGACTTGGTGAAAAGAAAAGACGGAAAAATATATTTAAAAAAGTTTGAGACTGCTAACCCGGCAGGTTGAAAATATATAAATTTTCCAACTCATCAGTTTCCCCATTAACCTTCATTTTTCTAATAAGGCGTACCCCATCTCTGTTTGGTGTCAGTCGCTTTCTTTGGACCTGGAAACAGCTCCAGAAGCCACAGGAAAACCCACTTCTGAGTATGTCCAAATCTTCACTGAGGGGCCAGGGTTCCCTGTGGGTCCAGGACTGGAGGACAAAGCCACAGCCCAGGACCCAAGCCTGCCAGCCTGGGGTCCAGAGTCCCAGCATCCTGAGGTTTGGTTGCCTGCTTTGTAAAGGGGTCCAGTGATGCAGGCTGGGCTCACCAGGATGCAGGAACGAAAGGTCCCCTTCTCCCCCGGCTTTGGAGACTTCAGGACTTGGGAGTCCAGCGGCAGTCGTGGGGGGACCTGCTTGAGGGAGGACGGAAGGAAGGGAGTGGGACACAGGCCTCTCCTCCCACCACTTTCTGTCTGCAGGCCGAGACCCAGAGAGCAAGCCAAGGGATTCTCCCAGGCATGGGGGCTGCCTCAGAGCGCCCCCACCCCTGCCCCCCCACCGCCTGGCAGCGGGCACCCCTGGAATGAGCCCAGTTGGCCTTGGGGAGCTGCTTGACTCGACATAAAACATTTGGATTTCATGGCCTAGTGATTTGTTTTTCAGTCTGAGGAATGAGTATAGGGTTACCTCCTTTTAATTTTGCCAAGTAAGGACATTAAAATAAAACAATCTCCAGTTATTATCCCTATTTCATAAAAGAAAGGGTGTTTTAACACCAAAAACGAGTAGGAAAGATATAATCCCAAACAAGAGACTCCTTTAAGCTGGATTTTAGGGCTTCAGGAACTCTCCACATTGTCCACGTTGCTTTGCATTTGCAGAGGCCTGGAGCAAATCGCCCAAAGGACTGAGGGCCAGCAGGACGGAGCTTGGGGCTGGGGGCGTCCCTTGAGCCCGGCCCCAACTCTGCCTGCGGCCCCTTGTCCCTCACAGATGAGAAAGGCGATCCCCACCTCTGGAAGCAGACCAACTGAGGGCATCAGGGGCCCCCAACCCCGTCCCACCTGATGCCACACCCAGGGTGTCCTCTGTCCCCGGTACCTGGGAATTCCCTGTGTGCAGAAGCCCCTCCTCAGAGAAAGGGCTCCTGGGCTCTCAGTGAGGGTGGCCTGACCCCAGGGGGCTGCTGCAGAGGCCTGCTGCCCACCCAGCTGTCTGGGGGCTGCCAGTGGCCCTGTCCAGGTACTTGTGACCCCAGCTGTTCTGGGACTCCCCAGGAGAACCTGCCATTCAGACCCCTTCTATGCTGTGTCCAGGAGAAGCAAGACCTCCCCCGGTCTGTCCCCGCGGCCAGGCGCTAGGACCGGAGCGGGCACCCACCCTGGCCGGCACTTGAGTACAAAACGCCCTGCCTCCTTCCTTCTCTCCCCAACCCTCAGGGCCCCCCCACCCCGTTCATCAGGGCAAAACCGAAGACCTCTCCTCTGCCCTGTGGGGAGGCCAGCTCAGAGCCAGCAGAGACCCGAGGTGCTCACACGACCCAGGCTGGCCGGCCCCGCCCCCTCATCAGAGGGCACCCCACTCTACCCTTGGCCCAAACCAGACACCTTCCTTCCACTTTTCCACTAGAGAAACCCCAACTCCCAGGAGTGGGTCTACCCACTTCCTGATCACCTTGGCGGGTGAACAGATGCCAGCCGCTGTGGCTGGCGGAGGCGGATGCCACTGGGAAAGATGGCACCAGCTGGGCGCTCTCTGAGGTGCACTATGAAAAGCAGGTGTGTGCCAGGTGTCCCTCACGACCGCACAGGCTCCCAGACAAGGTTTCCGATGAGGCTGCCTTCACCTCCGTTTTCCCTGAACCTCCTCTCATCTGAAAAGCGGGGCACACAGCCATCCAGAGCTCCCCTGAGACCCAGGGGCTGGTGCGGGAGGTGGGGGGCGGGGTCCCTGGGGACAGCTGGGAAGGCTGCTGGAAACAGGTGGGTGACTCTTAGGGGCCCAGAGCCTCCAGCAGGGCAGCCTGCTCCCCAGAGCTAGGGGAGCAAGCCGGCAGTGGTCTCCGACGACCCCACCTCCTTTTCAGGGCTTGGGTGAGCTATGGGGACTCCCGTCCTCCCCCTCCCTCCAGGAAACTCTCCAGGGCCGGGATCTTTGCTTTATCTTCATCTTCTCCTGCCCTAGCCACACCCCCCTTCCTACCAAGGGCTCAGGGCCCAGCAATCCTCTGTGACTTTTTGAAAAAAGCCACTTGGGTGGGTTGTTTGTTTTTAAAGCCCTTTCCTGATGACCTTTAACCTCGGCAGGGGAAGAGAGGCCTAGCTAGCCCTTCAGGGCTGGGCCATTCCCCCTAGGGAGCTGCTAGTGGGGCAAACTGGAGGTGGAGCGGGGGCAGGCATCGGTACCCCAGCCAGGAAATCCATCTTACAAAAGCCTAGTAGTCGCTGGATTGGTATGCTGGAGCTAGAGAAGGGGTCAGAGTTTGAAACTCAGCTGTGCGACAAGGTCACTTTGCCCCTCGGAAAACTCGGTTTCCCCAGCAGTAATCGCACCCGCGTCTCAGGCTCTTTGGGAGTGCGGCCTCCAGGGCTGCCTCCGGGGTAGGGCACACGGCACACAGCTCCCCGTGCTTCCAACGACTGGAGGTGGCTCTGGCCAAAAGGCAGTGCCCTCCGCCAGTCGAGAGCTCCCGTCCCGCAGCCCGCCCCATCGCGACATACATCCTCAACGAGGGCTGCGGCGGCGGCGGCGGGCCAAGCCATCACTCGGGCTGCAGTGCCCGGCGCCCGCAACCCCGGAGGTCCTGCCGCGGCGCCTCCTTCCCAGGCTGGGGTGCGGCTGAGCCAGCGCCCCGCATCCGTCGCCTGCCTCGTGCTCGCCCCTTTGGACCCACGAACCTCTGGCCTCGCACCCCTCCGGCCCCCGCACCCCCGTATTTCAGTTCCCACGGCCCTTGGCAGCCCCGCCCGAACCCCCGGCCCAGCCCCGCGCACTCACCGTCCTGCGGCGCCGTCTCGCTGCCGCTGCTGCCCCCTGACGGCTCGCGCGCCGCGCCCTCCCGCGCCTCTGCCCTGGCCGCGGGGCGCGGCGCTAGCCGCCCGGCCGCCGCCACCTCCTCCAGGTCCAGGAGGTGGCTGACCGTGAAGTTCTTGCGCGCCTGGGCGCAGTCGCCGGGCCCCAGAGCTGGCGGCGGCGGCGGCGGCGGCCCCGGGCCCAGCGCCGGCTTGTCCGGGGCGAAGGCGGCGCCGGCCGCGCTGTCCATGCCCGCGGGCCGCCCCGGGGGTCGCCGGCGGCGGTGGCGGGCGCGGGTCCGAGGCGGGGGTGGCAGGCGCGGGTCGGAGCGAGCGCGCCCCGGCCGCCCCGCGCTCGGCCCCGCTCCCGGCCGCCTCCTGACTCCGCGGCCGCCGCGGCCCGCCCGGCGCTGACGTCGGGGGAAACCAACTTTCTTCCCTCCCCTTCTCTGCCGCCTCGCTCGCTCCCAAGTTGCTCAAACGGGAGCTCCTCCGGCCACACGCCCCTTCTTGAAGCAGACCTCGCCCCCTGCCTCCCTCCTCCTCGCCTCGCCTCGCCCGCCCCCATCGCGCCGGCTGCGGGGAGGGAGGGGGTCCCGCCTGAGCCTGGCTGGAGGCTGGCGGCGGGGAGGGGGAGAACAAGGGGCGTCCTCCTTTCACCCTCCCCACCCACATTTTGAGGAATGGGAAAGTTCAGTGTTTGGGTGTGTGTGTCTTTTTTTTTTTTTTTAATCCCCCAACAAGTGTTCGGGGAGGTGATAGTGGAGGGATTAGCAGCCCCGCTTCCATTTACAAATTCCTCGGCAGAGGAGGGGGCAGCGACTCTGAGGCAGTTGCCAGAGAAGGTCTGGAACTCCCAACTCCATTCCCACCCCCCCCACGCACCCCAACGCCGTCCCTGATCTGACGGGGGAGAGTCCTGGGTCCGCCTTGTTCACTCCGCCGGCCCCAGCTACGCTCCCCAGAAAGCAGCACATCCTCAAGCCTCTGGGGTGTATGCATTCCCCCCACCAACACATACACCTCGGAGGCCACCTCCAGTATGCTCCAGGCCCTCCCCAAGGAAAACCAAACTGGGAGGAAAGAGTTTCCCCCCAGAATTCCTAGTTTACACACAGAGGGTAGATAGCCAGACTG